TTAAATAGCGCTCGCTAGCTAAACGAGAAGTTAAATATTAGTATAATAAGTTCTTTATTAATAAAAGTAAAATCTAGGAGAGTGATTTAGAAAAATAAAGTAATAAAAATGTAAAGATAATATTACTTTGCCTTTTATTTAGGAAGAGACTTCTTCTTCGTATTAATAATTTCGGTAACAAACAAATGTGAACATTAATCAAAACAATACTGATCATTAAGGAGCTATGCCTTCCTCAGCCTCTAATTATTTTCGTGTTATATTTTTTAAAAAAACCTCCAAAAGTTATTGTTGGTCGTTACTCATCTTAGTAATAAGTGTCAAAATGATTTATTTCTTGCTCACTTATTGGGGAACAGCTTTCTATTCTTTCTGTTTTCATCTGTTTGGGATGTTAGTTTTTGTTATATATAGACACTAGGTGGTTTTTGACGAAACTATTACTTACTTAATAATATTATTTCGGTGTGAAACATTTATTTTCGAAATGGTTCGTTAGTAACAATAATTTGCTTTAATATTATTGTACCTTTTAATAAAAATATAGCCCTAATTTATACAACATCATGTCAAAATTAATTATTGTAAAGGCTTACTCAGCTAACAGTGAACTAGCTGTGTGTGGCTGCGCGACGTCCACCGCGGCGTCGTCTGTTGCGCGATGCTATTCATGATTATGAGGCCCCAGTGTAGCTTGAAACTAGTCGAATTATCACGACAACCAAATAAAATTTTATTATACAAAAAACACAATTTACAGACATAAAACGATCAGTTTCAACTAAATTTAAAATTTACTTAAGGCGAATTTTGTAATTATATACACTTGTTGCTTTCAGCAGTAATTTCAAGTCAATAAGAATTACCTGACTAACCAAAACATAAGTTAAGTATTATTACTTAGAATGGTTGTCGTACATAATGCACGATAACATACAAGAATAAACCATTCTATACCCTGATAATTTGTGGTGTGATTAATATACTCACCTACTAACGTTACATGTTAATATCTAATTAGAAGCTGCATTTGACATTTAATTTACGTAATAATATTCACCTAATTAACTAATCAGACCCTGTAATTTTATCAGGTGATTATGCAAATATAATTAGCTAGGGATAATTATAACTTATTATCCGTAACTAGGGTCTAACATAGTTTTTCATACCTTATCTTACAAACTACGACAAAACAGCATTTTCATAAAATTTTAAATTGCAGAAGCGTTGTGATATTTATATAATAAATTTCCAAATTTTACAAAGAAGACATGGTCATGGTAGGCTGTTTATGGAATTAATAATCATGATCTTATCTTTTAAAAGAACAAGGACTTATTTTACTAAAAGCTACAGTTTTGAAATAATCCTAAAGGAAGCTCTTAAATTAAATGTACTTTCCTGAACCCACATAAGAAACTAAGGCAACAAAATATTTCCAACAATCTCAAAATTCCTAGTTCAACCCTTTGGCCCAAATCACAGATGAAAGCTTTTATTTAATACTAGCTTTTGCCCGCGACTCCGTTCGCGTGGAATAGTGACTTTTGGTATAAAAAATATCCTATGTCCTTTCTCGAGTTCCAAACTATTTCTGTACCAAATTTCACAGAAATCGGGTCAGTAGTTTAGGCGTGAAGAAACGACAGACAGACAGACAGAGTTAATTTCGCATTTATAATATTAGCATGGATAAAAAAATATGTACTGCAAAATTTTGTTTCATTAATAAAAACTCGCAAATACCTCTTCAATGAACTAAAAATGTGTCCTTAATTTGACATTGATCTGATATGACGTCAATATAAACCTTATTGAAAGACCTTTTGATGAAATCGCATTCACATTTTAATGGCTTCAGCGTCAAAAGCGTAGAAGCAATCAGGATATTAATTGATGATTGCCTGAAATATTCTTCTTTACACGTGGAATTATGAGATGAGGGAGAAAGAAAAAAGTAATTAAGACCCATTGAATCACGGCGTGACGTCGACACGCTTGTGGGGGTGCGTCTGTGTGTTTTTACATCTATACGATTGCACATTTGTATCTATATAAGATGGTTTCGCATAATTAAGTGAAGCTTATGTAACGATGTAATAATCCTTACTGAATGTATCCAAAATGTGTATGTAATGTATCTTGCTTCATTTTGCGGAGAGAAATAAGGGAAATGAAAAAGAAATATTTTATATAATTTATCAATATGTATCTATCTACATTCCAATTTCTCTTTGGATAAATACTCGTTACTTACAAAATGATTTAAAATTATTTTGATTCACAGTTCTTACAACGAAAAGTACGTCGTAAGTTAAAAGTTCATAACACATAAATAAATCATAGATGGCGCTGCTGTGTTTTTTGATCACTTTGTCACATATATTACGTTGCCATACGTCGTTCATAGTTACTTCCCCTTTACCCTACATACAAAGCTTGAGAAAACAGCTGTATCTGTCTACACACATAATAAAGATAGGCAAGTACCCATATCTGTCAAGTTTTCCGCGAAATACACGAAGACAAGTATACGTTCCATTAAGGAAATATAATACTTTGACATCTCATTCCAACATGTGCTTAACGTCAACTGACATGGGATTAATTTATTCATTAAATGGTCTTACATACTCTTAGTTAAAATAAATTATAATTAATTACTTACGTTGTTTAGGACGTGTTAAATTTATTTTTGAGTAAAACTTTTCTGTTTTTTTGATTTAAAGGGTACAAGAGCGACTATAGAAAATCGGATTAGACAAACCACAATCAACATATTTGTTATTAAATCATTTATAACAGTTAAAATAGCACAGTAATAATAATGCCATAATATGCAGTCAACTGAACAAAATCAAAAAATGACAATGAAAAATTTTCTTCAATGGGAAATTTTCCGCTGACCTACATATTTCTAGTATTTTTTTCTTGGGCAATTAAATTCGTTAGTGCATAGTACGTAACTGCCCCGACTGAGCGCTTTAAGAGCTTATCCGTTCTTTGCTAGCGAGCTGTAAAGACCATCTGCTGCCAACATTTATCAAACAAAAAACTACTCTTTTAATTGTAAATTACGGTTGTAATTGCAGTAAATGATCGTCCACTCAGTGCTTAGCGTGATTAAAGCTGCTTTAAATTTAAGAAGGATTTCGTGAGAGATAAGAAATAAGATGCTTATCGTTTGAATGTAATATTTTTGTTTATTTCCTTGTGAAATATCAAAAGTTATTTGCGTAATCTACATTACATTAAAAATGTAAATTTCTTGGTTAATAATTAACATGACTCAAAGACTGTATTCACTGGTCGATTAATTATTTTCTCGGTGGTACGTGACATTCTAGAATCAAATAGAACAAAATCGTCAAATAATGACCAAATAAATACTTAAATTATCTCTTATTTCATAAATTATCCAAATAGACATTCACAACACAAAAATAAAGACACAATATACAACAGTCCCCATGATATGTATAAGATTTTTATAATCAAACTAGACAGACTCCATATTAAAAACCATTAAGGTCAAGCCCCTAAAATAAACAGCATTCCTAATTCTATAATAAGTATGTTTAGGCACGAATATGATAATAATATTGCCGCATTAGCTCAAATACTCTATATCTATGTATTCATGTATACTAGGTGTCTAGGTATTCCAGGTCATATGACGCACCCACACGTCCACACCCTCGGTAACAACCAATTACTTACACTTTGCACATTATCTTCGAAACAAACACGTACAAATTAGATCATGTTCTATGTTCATAAATGCGAGTGTGTTTGGCTGTTTGCTTGACTTGCTTTCACGTAGCAACGGATCGTTTTAATGGTATGAATTTTGTGTTCTATATCTACTGGTATTTGATGGAATAGTGCTTTATACGGAGAACGAGACTCGAGAATTCTAGACCTTGTGCTACTGTCTACCTACTAAGAAATGTTTGAGAACCAAAACCTCCTATGATTACTTTGCTTTGTGCGGTCATCACGCTTGTAAGGACTCAACCGAAAACCGACCTTTAAAATTAAATCCTGTTTTAAATTTTTTTTATGTAATAGGTCGGCAAAGGAGCGGACGGATTTCCTGATCGTAAACAATCAGCGCCGCCCATGAACACTCGCAGAGGTGTTAAGAGTGCGTTGCCGACCTTTTACGGATTAGGGATTCGGAGATTTAGGGAGGGATTGGGAGAGAGGAAGGATTGGGCCTTCGGTAACCTCACTCATACGGCGAAACACACTGGTTGTTTCACGCCGGTTTTCTGTGAGGCCGTGTTATCAGTCCGGTTGAGCCGAGCCATTCGTGCCGAAGCATGACTCTCCCACACTTACATACATTTCCCTTAAAAAATACTTCTTAACAACGATTTTCACTAACTTTTTTTCCTACATCTACCATACATTTATTTGTATTTATTTTTATTCGTATTTCCATTTTTTTTTAATTTTACAATTTAATAGACACACACAGGCCCGAAACAACTCATAGTTTTGTCGTGTGTCCAACCACTGCGCCAACGGTGCAGTCCGTTTTGTATAAATACATTATATGCACTAATATTAGTGCACTTCCCAACAGTTACTAAGTGTTGTTCTGGCGACAGGACAAAGTTTCGTGTGACCGGAATTTGTGGACACAACAAGTTTCACTGAGAATAGTTCAACCACATCAATGCTACCCACTTAGTTTTATTTAGAAAGCAATTTGTACACAACCTAATTTACAAAAGTTAATTAATAGAATCTGAAGTATTTTTTGTCTTTAGTTCGTGTACTTTAGACTTTTATATTGAAGCTATATGTACGTTATATTTTTCCAAATTCCAAAACAAATCCTTTAAGCATAAATCTTCGTCCAACTAATAACTGCCACGTTAAAACTGACATTTCTATTCTGGACGACAATGAAAAATCCAAAATTTACTATTTTATTCTGTGAGGAACATAATTATTTAAATTTTAAGTATTTGATTGTTTGATTGCAGTCCGGCCAGATGAGGAACTACCAGAGCCAACTCTACGCATCATGGCGAGGTCGACGGTATACAACGTTGGCGAGACCAAAGCCATCTTCTGTAAAGGACAAAATCTCGTAGAAGTACGTACCTCTTTATAGTTATAAAGTGTGTTTGTGTTTGGTTACATCCACCAGGGGCAAAATGTTGGCATTTATATAAAAAAACCAAACCATTAATACCGTTTCCTTTCATTTTAATCATACTATGCCAAACTCATTACAAACAATAAGAATCTTCTAAAAAAGACAATCGAAATAATAATTATCTTGTTATCCCAAAATTTAACCTCGACTCATAGACGTGGCTACGATTGCATATACCACAAAAAGGTTTAATCTTTTAAAAATTAACAATTATTTAATGTACTTCTTCCAGCCTATTCAGTGGTACTCCCCCTCGGGCAAATTAGTCGAGGAGCGATCTACCAAGAATAGTCGAGTGTTTGTTGAACGGAAGACTGAAGACAATGGAGTCCTAGTGCCCCTCATCATCCATCGCATCAAGATCAGCGATGGAGGCAACTGGACCTGCAAAGCTGGGAACCTGACTGAAACAAAGGAGTTTATAGTTGGAGGTAGGTAAAAGAAAAAAGGATTTCTTTTTGCAGCAGTGATACTTAATTGAGAATTCGAAATAAAATAACTCAATTTGACCCTAAGGCACTCCAGACACTAAATATTCAATAAAGTCAACCAGTATTTCCATGTAGGAGAATTGGCTTAAAAAAAGTTCTACTTAGATACGTATTTTTTTACTGAAACGTTGGTTTTCTCTTTTTTTTCTTATTTCTTTCTGATTGTCTGTGTCCTTCGCACTTGGCTGTTAAAGAATACCTTAAGGAATTAGCTCTACTATTTATAAGTACTGTATAGTGTGAAAAGAAGAAATAAATTATTTAACTTTTATTTCAGAAAAAGTGAACATTACCGATAGAAATGTCACTTTGGAGGGAGAAGAGGGAAAATCTGTGAAGTTGACTTGTGAGGCCAACGGTTACCCCCTTCCAGTCGTCGTGTGGTACAAGGACAAGCACCAGATTAGGGGTAAGTGCTATCTGCCACAAGAAATGCTACATTACAAGGAGTTACTTACTGTAGAAGACATGCTTCAGCACGAACGAGCCATATCGACCAAACTGATACCTTGGCCACTGAAAACCGGCGTAAAACAACCACCGCGTTGTTTTGCATCGTGTGAGTGAACTTCCTGGATGCCCAATCTTTCTCCTCCCTTGACTTTCCCAATCCATAAAGCCCCATAACTCTTTATCCTCAAAATGCCAGCAACGCATTCATAACTTCTCTGCTGTTAGGGATGTCAATGGGGGTGTCGAGCCGGTTGCTTACCATGAGGTAATACGTCTACACATTTGCCGTTCTATCACAAACAAAAGTACATCCTCAACTTTTTCGTTCTTTTAAACAGCTTTACTTTTAATACTTACCAATGATGTTTGAACCAGTTACAATAAACAAACTTCGTGCTGTCCCATGTCAACTTCGAAAATAGAAAACACCGAAATTAGTTTGGATAATCTCCTGGTAGCCTATAATGACATTTATTTATAATGGCTTTTAGATGCTAGTCGTTGCTGAGCTAAACGAGCGAAGCTTGTAACAGAATCTTACTGGCGGAAATAGAAAATTAACTCACTACCTTGCCTAATATAACTACGTAGGTACAAGTGATATACAAGACTTTTATTTATTCTTCATATACAGTTGCATATCGGAGGAGTTAATGCTAGAAGCATTTTCTGCCAGTCATCCTTTAGGTAGTGCAAAGATGTGTGATATGTAGCAATTTTGGAAGCTATGGGAAGTGGTGGTGTGAATCTGATAATTTGAGTGCACGGTTGGTGGTGGCTGCCTCGCAATGTGTCGCAAACAACTGTTTGTGTGATCCACAGATTGTTTTTCCAGGTCTGAATGTGTGTGTGTGAATTTGTATGTTTGCAACACAGGAGAAAATTCTAGTGCGGGGCAACGTTTTTTTTTAAGTTCTAAGTTACATTACATAAAGATTAAATATAAACTCTAATACACATATAAAGATTTATATTCGTATACAAAGTACATTTACAAAAAAACTTATTTCTTGGTAAATTTCAGACAAAGAGGACCCCAAGAAGTACACAATCAAGCCAGACAACACATTAGAAATCAAGAAATTGAACCACGCCGACGTTGGCCTTTACGTTTGCAAAGTGAGACAAAAGGCGCTGTCTCACTACACTGAAAAGACTGTTCATCTGTCTGTTCAACGTAAGTCTTTATTTCCCTATTCACACTCAATCTATAAAATTCTAGACACTCGACCCTGTTTTGCACAGTAGTCCAATTACGTTGGTGCCAGTCATTTGTTTTGTCGGCGAACCGCTACAGCTGTGAAAGGGTTGATATTTCTCGAATTATTGTTCTACTTTTCTTTAATTTTTAATAAGCATTTTTTTTTTTGAGAAATTTAGTGTAGGTTCATAATAATATTACACAAAATTAAAGACCAGTAAGAAACATACAATAATTTTCTACTAAACAGAACAAACTAAGAATTTCAGAATTAATTTTCAAACATTAAATTTTAACAAATGAAGTTTCTTAGGTATCTTGTTCACAACATAGTATCAGGTTTACGTATTTATTTAATTTGGTTTTTGTTTAAATTTTTATTTAAGTAGCGAATATTTGTTTTCAGATAAACCAATTTTGTACAACAGTGATACACAGATGATTTACACAAACACAAAATACAAGACTGAAGAGGTTTACGCCATTTTGAATGATACGTAAGTATAGCATCAACCTTCCTCTTATTTTATTCAAAACTAAAATTCATTAAAAAGTGCAGGAGAGCCATGTTTCAGCTTGAATGGGTGGGATCGATCAGGGTGATACCATGGCCTCACAAATAACCGGCGTAAAGCAATTACAGCGTTGTGTTTTTCCGTGTGAGTGAGGCTACCGGAAGCCTAAATCCCCAAAACTCTAATCTCCTACGGGGACGGCAACGCACTCGTAACTCTTCCGTTGTTGCGGATGTCCTCACCATCACGTATTTCAGCTTGCTCGTCGAAAATAAACACATTTAGCCCTAGTAGTTCTGCGCCTCGACATATCACGAGCTAAATGTGAATATAACACATTTATTTTGTTTCCAGCAAAAACGTGACTTGCAGTGCCATCGCGAACCCACCACCAACCTATAGGTGGTTCAGGAGGATCAACGGTTACGATGATGACGCCATCACGGATCCCGATACGGTAATAACTATAGCATAGTTTCAAATTTATAATCAGTTACAGAATAAAATTCTTTGTCGTTCTTATATAATATTTCGACTATTGTCATGATCATTCTCTTTAATCCTTTTTCTATATACATCTAAATCACTATCAAAACTACAAAACGTACACCTAAACTTGGCAAGTTAGATTGAAATGATGTACAATTCCAATTACAGGTGATCACTTCCGAAGATGGAACCAACTCCGTGCTTGTCCTGCGAATTCGAGACGAAAGCTATTATGGCGAATACAGATGTTCTGCAAACAACAGCAAGGGTTCCGAGTCTATCATCTTCCACGTAAACCCTGGTTCAAAACCTCAACCTCCAGATACCGTAAGTAAAAGTTACACTTAAGTACAAATGCCAAATAGAAAATAAAAAGGACTGACGTAGGTAATAAACTTCGATAGTGTGACTACAGTTAAGTTTCCTAAATATTTAATTCTTCATTCATATTGGACATAATTATGTCCTGATCTTTCAGAAGCATTACAAATGGAGATATTATATAGGTACAAAGAGATCTGGTATTCTCCATAGAAAGCTAAAGTTGTTAAATGAAAATAGATACAAACGGTGTGTAACTTAATTATTTCAAAATTCTTTTATTACAAATAATATCATGATAATTGGTACCTAACGTAGGCAGCCCACCTACGGATCGATTTTTATAGGAGAAAAATATAATAATAGGTACTAGCAATGGTGGGACACAAATTCTCTTAAAAAAGATCGTTCTCCCTTTCCAACGTTTGACATGTTTGGGCAGCGCTAATTATTTACCATTTAAAATGCAGGTCCAATTGGCAGCAGCTAACACAACTAATCTAACCTTCAACGTGACCTGTTCATCCTGCAACTTCGCTACTCCAGATGAAGTGCCTGAATCACCAGATCCCAAAAACCTCACAGTCATTGGTAAATATTTATTACAATACTACTACCTGCCTACTGACTGAACTATCTACTTTAAGAGATTAATTTAAGTTTTAATATAAGATACGATATCCTAAAAGAATACTAGAAAATGATACTGATATGGATGAACAAATAGTTGGTTAAATTATGGAACTTAAAAATACCTTAATATTTCAGGGTACATTTTCCAGCTTGCTCCTAGTAAGCCAGGCTACCCAGCTGATTGGGATGGAGCACCAGAATTCCGCGTTGATATTGAAAGTGCTAACAGTAAGTTTTTCTATTCATATAAAAAGTATTTATGATAGAGACAGCTACCTTAACAATGGAGACTTACGACCCAAGAAAACCAAAACAGCAAACAATTTACGGTTCACCATTAATTGGTCGAGTACTAGATTCTAATGAATTATCCGAAAACCTTGGAACAAACTAAAAGCTCCAATAAAAGTTATCCAACTATCTTATATAGGTATTTTATTCATTTTCAAATGTGAAAATGAATATAGTGCTGTGCATTTTTATAATTTGTAATGCTTATTTTATTAAACTACCCTTTCAGATACCCTGTTCACCTTGGGACCTCTATCAAACAGCACAGTATTCCACGTTCGTGTGCGCACGCGCAACGCTGCGGGTAACTCTGAATGGCTGGAAGCTGGCGATGCAGCAACTACTGATGACGCCATCAGGCTGTCTGCCACTCTACTCCTCATGATAGCGGCAATTTGTATGCATCTTTATTAAAAAAGCAGCTTTGTTTGGAGTGGGGATGTTTCGTTAAAGTATATATGTATAAAAAGGTCTGTTGTGATTCGCTGGCTTAAGTTTAGTTTCGGATGGGTGCCGACAATTTTGTGAAATTTGTGTGCGTATAGTTCAATGTTAATGTGTTACGTTTATCACTTAAGAAATGTTTACTGTACGTTGAATCACGGAATTAAATATTAAAGTAGAAAGTTCAGAGTTAATTACAGATTAATATGAAGATATTTACTACATAGTTCACTTAGCAATCGATGCCAAATATAAAGCCAAATCGTTGAATTGTGTTTAGTGTTAAATTAATAAAACATTCTATCCCCATGACATTCCAAAGTTAATGTAGATAGATAATATCTAATTTGAACAAAATAATTATTGTCTATTATTAAAATTTTAAATAATTAAGTGTTCAATTCTCCGAATAGTTGAAAGGCCTGAAAAGTTGTACTTTTTAATTAAAGTAACTTGTATCTATTTAATATCGACTTGAAAGAAAAGTAGAAACGAAAATGTTTTGGCTTGATTTAATTTGCAGATAAAGGATGCGCATCACTGTTTATGTAAGTATGTTATATTGCTGTGATTTGCTTAAGTACGCGTTTGATAAGGTATTTACAGAACCAAATTACATTCAACCAGTCCAAGACAACATGATACCAATTAACAAAAAAAATGAAAAACGTTAAACGTTTTATATGGAAACTTTTTTTTTTATTCCGTATCACTTTGATAACAGACCCTGTATTTGAAATAACGTTTTTACAAAGTAACAAATTTTGACCAATTGCAACAAGAGCACTCATTTTGGGCATTCCGTACGGCCGTACGGACACCCATTTTCTTTCACTTGTAAATACTTAAAAAAATATTTAGCTCTGCGTAATATAACGTAGTTTATAAGTTATCGCATATATGTATGTATGTAAAAGGGTTTAAAGACGTGTGCTTCTTTTGGAGTTAATGGAGGAACGAGAAAATCTTTAATAAGGACTTAACCTACTTTGTATTGCTAAGTGACACTAATAAGTGTTTGTCCACTGATTTTAGGGAATAAGTAGGTTTTATCCTTACCCTAATACTATTAACCTGGATCTAATATTAACTTTTCATTTAAAATAGGGAATGAAAGTGAAATTGAAATGTCAATATAAAGTAGAGTAGCGTGATATAGAAGTACCAGAGAGCTACAATTTTAAGGGTTGCCAGAATTTAAACCATTCATTCTACCACAAAATGAAAAGTTGCCACATGAATTAACTCCAAAAGTACCTACACGCATAGGTATGTTAGCTGGAACTGATGAAGCACTATGTATGAGTAGATAAAATACTATTAAGTGTATTTTAAGTTATGGTCGTTGTTTAGAATAAGTTTAATTTAAAAATATTGATGAAGTCGAATCCTTAACACTACAAACTATGACAATATCTATACAGGTACGTATTTTATCCAAAAAAATAACATTCATTTCCAATTTATACATTCCAACTAACTAACGCCTAACAAGTCTTGGTCAATTTTAATTGCTTAAGTCCAGTTTTACCATGTTCTTGCAGGAAGACTGATTATTCTATTGTATATTTGGTTTCCTATGTATCGCTTCTTTAGGTAAAAAATATAGTTAGGTTTACCCTTTATATGAGCTGGAAAGGACCTTCTAAAATCGCTAATCTTTGAGATTGGTTGTACAATAACATGTACAGGAATTGTCAATCGGTTCGTTGTTCAGCTCTTAAAATATTAAGAAATTATGTACCATTTAATATTACTTGCAAAGTTAGCTTAAGAAGCTTGGTATCACTAAAATTAAGGGCTATTTTAGGCCTCGAAGAAAATGTGCTGCATTCACTATCGTCAACATTGAACGTTCGTAGCATTTACATAAAATTTATATGTAGTTGAACAAAATGATTGTTTTATAAAATGTTTATTGCCGTTTGTATTTATAATGTACACGTTTCTGGTTATTTCTACTGTGTACATACGTCATATTGTCGGCCAATGAGTTTCATATACACTAATTGTTACGTTAATTACACTGGTGTTTCTGCCTCTAATAATATGGTTTATAAACATTTCTTTGATTATTTTTATTCTGAATGACCTTCATATGTTTCATTCATTACATTATCAGCCTATCAATGGTCACAGTTAAGCAAAGGCCTTTTCTCTCACAGAGAAGCTTTGAGTAGGTACTACGCTTGCTCAACTCCTATTGGCGATTTCTAAATTATAGTTCCAAGTTTAATCGTCGGTCAGTTGTGTCTAAATAATTCTTATATGAAAATGCATGTAACACAGTAAGAGTCACATCGGTAAGTTTGAGCGTCCTTATGAATGAGAAACGGGCACCTTATACTTCAGGCAAAACCACACTTATTTGTTAAACTTCAAAAAAAATTAAAAAAATATTCTGGAAAAATAGGTCTTATGTTTAGAAAAGAAAACAAATTAATAACAAAAAAAAAACTGCAAACTACACTTTATTGACTGGAAAAATGTATTTACAATGCAAATGGAAATACAATTTAAATTAATCGAACATTATTAATATTAAATAAACAATGCAACAAACAAATAAATAAATACAATTTAAGGTTTGAAAAATTATTTCACCAATCTCATGGCGAACACGCAAACAAAAGCTACAATAAAGATGCCACCAGCAAAGAATAAACCGTAGAAAGTGCCATCATTCATGGACTCGGAGTCATCAGAAACTTCTGACTCAGATTCTGGAGCCTCCGTGGTAGTTGTTTCCTCGGATTCAGCGGACGTTGACACGAGGATAGGATCCGACCAGATCGACTCCCCTACCTCGTTCGTCACTCTTAAGCGTATCCAGTAAGCAGTTTCGGCTTCCAATTCTTCTAATGGGATTATGATTCCTGGAAAGAATGTAATTATTTTTCTTTTTTTATTATAGGAAAATAATTTCATTTCTAATGTTACAAACCAAAGCTTTTAAATTTAATGTAAACTTAAAGTTTACTGAAGGTAATCTTCGGAACCGCTGGTCGGTTTTCCAAACTGAGAGATAGCTACAATGTTGCTGAGGCTATAAAACATCACGCTACGATCAAATAGAGCCTAGCACCGGGTGAAACCACTCGAGACTAGTCTATTGTATTTGCAGATAAATATTAAAATGTGGTATGCGTTTTTCACAAGCATAGAAAGAAAAATAATGATAATAGCTACTTTTGTTTTGTGTTTTTCACTATCTTTATCGCTTTTTTTTTTTCAATTATTGATATGTAACTTACCTCCCAATTCTGGATCGATAGTTTCACCTTCTTCAAGGTTCACCTCAGTTTGTTTACTTCTCCTCCAGGTGGCTTCTCGAGGCGGAAGGAACTTCTTTTTACCAGTTTCTTCTGTAGTGTATTGAATTTGGAAAGCTAAAAAAATACCAGATATAAAAATTGGTTACTATAATGCCTCAGAATAAAAATAAGAAGTTTGATCATCTAACCTATTTGGCAAAATATTAAATAAAGTGGTAGACTAGAAGAAAGAAAATGTAGATTACATCAATTCCTAGGGCTTAAAGTCCGCATATGTACCTATTATGCATGAAATACTAATAAATAAATAAATCCGGAAACTTACCACTAACCGGAAACTGTATGTCATCATACCATGTAACATTCAAATATAACGCGTCCGATGTAGCGTTAAAAACGTTAACCTGAAAATAAACTCAATGTTACCTTTACTAAAATATTACGGTATTACTAGCTATTGTAATTTTCTGTTCAGGAAAAAATACGCAATAAAAGTAGGTGACAGTTCAAAAACGCCTAATGCAATTATCAGAGCAAATCACATATACTCGACACAATTAACCAAAATTTTTTAAGGCAATTACTAACTTCGCTGGGCCTTTTCGGTTTTTCCATTTTCATCAAAGTGAAATATTTTTCAGAAACTCCATAATCGTTGGTTGCTTGGCATTTATATCTTTGCCAAAACGTGGATTGATTTGCTACCACAGTCAGTGTCGCCTTGGTGCCATCTTCTGAGAGTTTAATTTGTTTTTGGTCGAATTCATACAAAACATCGTCAGTCATTTCTTTGAACCATCTGTACGTGGCAATTGGGTAGCTGCTTGCTGAACATACTATGTCAACTCTGAAAAAGAATTATAGAAAACAACATACATATATGATAATCGAAAGCATAAGTAAAATAATGTTTATAACGTAAATGAAATAATCAAAAGCATAGATGTATCTTAATCATAAAATCTTGAAAAAGATAATAAATGAAATGAAAGATAAAAGATATGGATTAATCACAAATAAATTGAAAAATACCTCATTTATTTATTATTTTATCTTTAATGTATTTTTAGGCTACATTCATATTAGGTACTTATAAACCAAATCGAAATTTATTTGTGTATGACGTGACATCTAAATACTTACTCTTGATTGTTTTTCGCATAAACTGCTTGAGTTTTGTTTCTATGCTCGAATATTGGGGGATCTGAAAAAAGGCACAATGTAAATGAAGTCAAATACCCCAGCTTGAAGGACTAAAGCGATGTGTTGCAACGTGTGAGTGAGGTTACCGGAGGCCTAAACCTTTTTCCCCTCCCAAATTCTCCAATTTCTAAATCTCCGAAACCTTACTCTTTAACAGATATATTAATGCACTCATGGAAATCGTGGAAATTGTCCATGGGCGTTAGTGAAGCCTAACTTATTGGCTCATCATAATTATTTAATCTTTACCTTTACATGTACATAGACCAATATAAACTAAATACTCACAATTAACATTCAAAGTTATATTGAAAGACGAGGTATGGCTACATTCTTCAACATACAAGCTCTCCTGAGTGCTCTGACAGGTATAAACGCCACTGTCCTCTGGCTCCAACGAAATGATGGTGAGGAGACCTTCGAAACCCTGGATGTTGTACTTCGTCATCACCTTGTACTTCTCGGAGTTATCTTCATCTAGGGCATTAAAATAAAACTTTTTAGTTATGAATGCTTTTCTATATTCTTAGTACATAATACTGTTTGTGTGAAGAATATTACGTACACAACACGATAATAAGATATTTATGAGCGAAGCTATTTACGACACCTTTTGTTTCAATTTCGCAACCGGAGCACTAGCCAGACAAACTGTTTAATGAATTCAAATGTACGTATTCTTTTTTTAATTAATTTTTTTCACAGCATATTGAAGCATGAAGCATTCTATTTACTTGTTCATCCATACACACATTGACATTGAAGTGTCTACATAATTATCCATGTACATATTATGTCTAGTAGCATATAAGTAAGCAACAATCAATAAAGGTAAATAAACTTCTTCAAGGTCGAATTAAGAAAACCATTAGTCTTAAGAATTTATGTACTCTATTGTTTGCATGTGTGCATCTGTCGACTGATAAAAACATATCTTTGTTGGTTTGCATGCGAAAATTAATTAGAAATCCCTTGTTACAAATAGGTACTGAATTCAAGTACCCCTGACGATCTTTATTGTTTAATTTTTTAAAGTATCTAAAATCAACAAAAAAAAAATGAATGGTTTTGAATGATAATAGGAACTAAAATAAAGTTAAACAAATTATAGTATATGCATATGTAGTGTAGTGTAGTATATGTAGTGAAGAAACAATCTCAGCATGGGACTCTTCAGCCGGGGTTGCGGGGTAAGCGCAATGAGGTACCGCGACCTCGGCACAAAGCAGGAGAAGGAGCAGGGGGGTTTTTAGTCAGTAACAGTCTGACACTCCCTCCCGTCTGGCCCTGGGCGGGAGAAGTCATTTGATGATATTCCCCTCACAAAAAAAAGCACGGGATTCTGAAGTCAATTTAAGATAAATTTTATTGTATTTTTAATAATGAAATAATTCCCATACCTACTTACTTGTTTATGAATTGAAAAGTTCCCAAAAGAATTGAAAATACTCCTTTTGTAGAAAAATAATACTATACCATTAATAACTTCTCCGTTTCTGTACCAGGTGATTTTTGGCTCAGGTTCTCCTTTTGCTTGACAGGACAGAGTAATTGAGCGGAAGAAGTCTGCGCTCACTTCTGGAATGGTGTCCACGAAATATGATGGTGCTATGGACGAGAAAAAATAATTAAGATGTACATTTATTTCTGGTATTCTTAGGATTACGGAACCATAAAAAACTAGTAGCGGTCCTTTGTCTACTATAAATGAAGACATTACATTATCAGCCTATATGTGCCCACTGCTGAGCTAAAGCGTCTTCTCACACGGTGAAAGTATTTAAGTAGAGCATTAATCACCACGCTTGTCAATCACAGAAAGCACGTGTAACTCTGAAAAAGTCCTTGGTACTTGCTAAGTTTTTAACCCAACGATACTTATTTCCATGTCCGTGTTGGGTATGGTGTTGTTGGTGTTGTTGTTGTTGTTGTTGTTGTAATGGTTAGATAACTCAATTCTCGATAAATTTATTATATTCCTCAATGTGGGCTTAATGATAAATACTTATAATTAATTACAAATACATTGTTTTACTTTGCCATGTACCCTGATGGGAACATCGAAATTGGATAGTGAAAAGGCAACTTTTTATTTTGTTTTCGAAACAAATTCGGTACACTAGAGTATGGCTTTCTAATTAATCTCAATTAGCTAATATGATGAGTGATGATAAAAATTAAATGTTCGCAACTAAGACCATAAATGTCGATTGTGTTTGCAGCCGTTTGAAAAACGTGACTTGTATTAATTTAACACATTATGTGTTAATCAAATGCAACCACGTGAGCATTTCAAGAGCTTTTTTTGTTACAAATTAAAAGCATCCTTATCCTAAGACTCTCTTGTACTGAATTGACCTCTAATCAGTTTTTACCACAGGATTAGAAGTGGGCTTACGACATCATTTTAAATGTATGTTCCTTGTACCTTCAGTAAGCATATTATTTCATATTATATAATCCAAAATTTCACATATTATTATCTTCATGGTAAATAAATACCTTCATTGTTTTATTCAAAATAATATGTAAATATTTTTTATGTGGTAGGTACGTTGGCAAACGAGCAGATGCATTACCTTATGGTAATCGACCGACTCCACCCATGGATACAAAACGAGTAGACGGTTTACTTGTTAGGAAGTAATCGACGCAGTCCATGGATACCCTCAACAACAAAGGAGTAACAGGTACGTTTCTGACCTTTTGGGAATTAAGGGATTGGGAAAAAAATGCGTTCCTTCCCGGGTTGGGCGTCTGACAACCTCACTTATACGGCGAAACACAAGGTTGTGATTGTTTCACGCCGGCTTCCTTTAAGGTTAAAACCTTAGCACCTTGAAATCCTTAGGTATTTTATGAAATAAAAATAAAAATGTCTATGATTTGTTCATATGTTAATAATTTTCGCGCTTAGTCACACTTGGTTCCCAATTATCTCGTATACTGCGGAATTAACACATGTGCCAGTCATAAACACAGGCCACGAAGGACATTTGGCTATTTTTAGGTACATCAATTGTGGGAGTAAAATTCCATGCTATTGTAGTGGGAGATATTACCTATACTTAGAAGATGATTTGCATTATTCAGTTTTAGTTCTAGTGTAAATCCTCCTTAATCCTATCCTACTAATATTTTAATGCAAAAGTTTGTGAGATTGAATTGATGTATGTTTGTTGTTCTTTGACGGAAAAACGGATGGACGGATTTGGTAGAAATTTGGTATGTAGATAGGTGTAATAATACATAGGCTACTTTTAATTCCCACTACTACACTATACTAGACGTAATTCCCGAAATGACACACAATGGCGGTACGATTGCAATTGGCACGCGACATACTTTTCTAACACGCAATACGCAATAAGTCCAATAAATAAAGGCGATATGCTTACAAGAAAAATAATATTATTAATATAAGTAAAATATTTTTGTTAGAAAACCGTAAAACAGGTGAATAGATACAGGAAAATAGATTGTATGTTTTTTTAGACATTTCCAACTATTTACCACTCTTTTCTCGTCTATTCGCCCATTTTAACGTTGTAATTGATTTCTGAACACCTCCATAAAATCGCCAACACTTTCTGATTGCTTCGAAATATCCATAATAACGAAAAATCTCACATAAATATGAACTCACCGATGACGCAAAGAGTGACATTCTTCACCAGATCCCCAGACTTGCACTGATACACCCCTGTATCCTCCACCTCTGCCCTGGTGACAGTCAGCACTAGCGCCGGCGCTCTACCTCTCATTGACGGCACGAAATGTTCTTGGGAAAATATCCGACTGCCAGGGATTCGTTTTACTGTATGGCCATTTGGGTCTATCCATTCTACCTGAAACAAGAGAATTTGGCTTCATCATCATCAGTCGTCGTGGTGACCCAGAGGTTAAGGCTCCCGCTTCTCCTGCATGAGGGTGGCGTTTCGAAACCTTGCAGAAAAAAATCATTGTGAGATAACCTGGACTCATAATTAAGTTTTATTAATGCTCCAAAACCTTCTCCGTGTGAGAAGGCTTTTCAGCTCGTGGCAGTTCAGTAATAAACTAGGAAATATACTTAGATTTTTTTATTTCTGATAAGCCAATCAAACCACACTCAACACGTGTTCCGTTCCTTTGCGAAGCATTTTCAAAATATATTTTTTGTGTATTATGTGTAGCAAACCTATCGTCAGACAAAATAACAACTTACTCACATGAATTAATTGAGAAAATGTCTTCTACTTTCAAGTCAACGACGACAACAACGACGACGTCGTGAAGCCGACAAAAATAAATTTAGGGTAGAAATAACTGAGGTACGAATACATTCTCATACGGAGAAGGTTAGAGCCTTTATCACCACGCTTGCTCAAAGCGGATTGGCGATTTCAAACTTATAATTAGATATTATAAAGTCCAGGTTTCCTCGCGATGTTTACCTTCAGCGTATGCTCAAGTGGTGTCTAAATAATCATAGGAAGTATATATAACTCGGAAAAAGTCACATTGGTACTTGCCAGGTTTCGAACCCACACCGTTATATTTTTATAATTACTATCATGAGACATACTAAATTAACTAAAAATCGCGGGTTACTCACGTGTATATATTGAAAAAAGCTCTACTAGTTTCGAAACCACAGAGGGGTTCTTCCTCATGAGCAGCGTGCGAGGACGTTTTCTCAATATATACACATGAGTAACCCGCGATTTTTAGTTAATTCACACCCTTATGCATGAGAAGCATAAGGTCCTTAACCTCCGGGCCACCACTACATAACAAGAATATCCATGAGTCTATGAATATTCTGGGTAAAACAGTTTTATAAGTGGAATAATTATTTGTAATGGTTTTAATAGCTTCTTACTTTTCAGCTTACTACTAGATTTGCGCAAAAAAGACTTTCATATTATTTATGTAATCAATTTCGAAAAATGCTTTTTATTCCTATTTACCTACGCTCCACTGAACATACATGCGAAGTGTCAGTTTTGTGCATTCCCTAGTTTCAAGTATATGGTGTCTGTCAGACCAGATCAGTAACAAAAAAGATCAAAAATGAAACTAACCTTTTGATTTCGATTCGATGCTTTGCAGCTGATGGTTTTGTGTCCCCCAACTTTCAAAAAGTCGTCATCGCCATACGTGACTGGTTCCACAATCAAATTGTTTTCCACCGGTTTCAGACCGTACACTATAAAAATATTACGTTTAGTACAATACTCTTAATAAATTGTATTTTCTTTTCGGTTGCTGCCCAAATATTATTATTTTCATTAATTCGAGATGATATATTTGTAAGTATATTGCCTCGTTTATATTACCAACCACTAGGTCAAAACTACACATAATAAAAAAATGTATGCCTAAAACACAACATAGTTACATGTAGGTACATCTCAAGTTGCCACGATACATTCTAAAACTTAACTTCAGTTCGAGTTTTTACCCAAAAATCTTGTTCTATAGCACAAAACTATTTAAAAAATAATGTATGTGTATTTTAAAAATATTGAATCTTAGTACAATCTGAAATAATTCACACAGGACTGAGACAGATATTACAAAGAGAAACAATATACAGTGCTTAAAAAAACTACATAACACAATGACGTATAGTTTTATACACCATTGACATAACATTACCTGTTCTATACAGCATATACACAAAAACGATCACATAAAATACCCACTTCATTTCGATTCTAAAAGTTCGAAATTCAAATTATTAAAACGAATGTAAATGTCACATTAACTTTTTTATTTATTTTTTTAAAGAAATAAAGATCACATGTGAACTTTTTTTTGGTCGTGATGGCAGAGACGCGACCTGGATGAAAGTGCGCTCCAGGATTAGGCACACACGTACTGACAAATTAATTAATCGGAACAATTAATTTGTTTTAATTATCATCGTTGTACACAATGTCATCAGTGAGGAAGTCGTACTTACCGTCGTTACCATGGAAAATTAAAAAGGTCACCATACTGTTTTAAATTATAAATAGCTACTTAATTATGTAACTCGATGGTGCACTCAAAGGTCCAAATATCATAATTATTTCCTGGATTACGAACAACTTAAACATTATGAGTTCAAAGAAATAAGTACATGAAATAATTATGGGACCGATAATTGTTGTTACGAAAAAATTGTGATACAAGTTTTTTTGGGTTATAAGACGGCAAATGAGCGGACGAATTACTTGATAGTAAGCAATCAGCGCCACCCATGGACACAAACAAGAGTTACAAGTGCGGCGCCGACCTTGTTAGGATTGGAGATTTTGAGATTTTGGGATTGGAGGAGGAGGATTGGACCTCCGGTAACCAACGCTGTGGTTGTTTCACGCCGGTTTTCAGTAAGGCCGTGGTATATCTCCGGTTTAGCCGATCATTCGTGCCGAAGCATGACTCTTCCACACTTATAATATATGTATACACATAAATATTAAGTATAAACAAATACTAAACATTAGTTTTATAGGGACTTATTTGTCCTTTAGGAGTTTATTGAAATACATAACCTACGTCTTTTACAAAAAAAAATATTTCAAGTTGGTATGTATAATATAAGGTACGCAATTCAATTTATTTTGCTTAGTAGACCATTCTGCATCCGGGTGCAAAGTTTGATCAATTGTAGTAACTCAATGCTTCAGTAAAATTCAATAACTGTGGCAGGAACAGGAAAATGCATAATATATAAATAATAATCAATTAATTTAATTCTTTCTATTAGTATCTACTTGTTTACAAGAATTTAATTGTAATTACATACTCAATCATTTTCTTTATAATTAAAATAATAATTTTGAGCTGTTTCAATACGCGGTTGATGCACTGTTTATGTCTGAATGAATGACTAGTTGTTTGATTGAATGACAACAGAGTTTTTTTTTATGAAAACAGAGTTGCTAGCATAAAGGTAGGCTAGGTTGTGTTAGGACCGCGACCCGCACAGAAATTGATTAACCATCACTAATAAACAGTTGCCAAAATTTTATTGAAACAGAAATGCAGGTATTAAATCAAACAATAGTCATTCAGGCCGTTGATTGGATGACTAATTAAGCTAGTTGGTTGGTTGCAACAACATAAATATATTAAATATTTATATTTTAATACCTTAGGCGTTTTTTAGTCCCACACATATAAATGCAACGAAGCAGGCAAGAAAATCAATTTCGTTAAAAATTTTATTATTACTTTTTAATAGCCTTACTATGCATTACTTTACACATTTGTGACTGTTACTTACTGAACCATATCAACACTAGCGTGCATAAATTACCTAAAAAATTACAGTAGCACCGACAATTAATAAGCAACCAATTAATGCAAGTAAGTAAAACGTCTCAATAGTTCTAGAATATTTACTATAATTGAGAGCAAAACATCGCTTGTACAAAAACTTGTTTAATTCGAAACAGAGCATTGTCTCCGCAATTCCTCCTAAAAATGTAGACTTTGTTGTTTTTATTTTAATTATTGTTCATAAAAATATGTTCTCTATGACATCACTAGTATTATAAATACTTACTTAGTATAAATTCCAGTTTCATTTGCATCAGATTATTAATAAATATTATTATTATTTGCATGTTTTACTGATCACGGGACCATAGGGTCGGAGGTCATTTGCGAGTCGTAAGAGAGGCCGAAGCCAACAAAGCAGAGGATTATTAGACAATAAAAAAAATATAATAACCATTTTCTTTTTTAAATAAACAAATCTGTATAGAATTAGCTAAGGAATTGTAATTTCTAAATGTTGTTGTCGGATTTTTTATCCAAATTGTGATACATTTAAGTTGTAGAAGAAATAGAAGGCAAAACATTAAATGTCTTTTACCGCCCTATGTGGGGCGAGTGTCAGATTCTTGACAATTAAAAACCAATCCATTCTTTCTGCTACCGGTTGAACCTTGCACCTGTATAGTCAGCCCAGTGTGTACACATACGAACCTATTTTGTGTAACAATTGCACATGGCATAAGTCTAGAACAATCTATGAGCGCACAGGTTATTGACGCGGTGTCATCATGAATATGACACAGTTTGGCTGTGCGCTAAATAACAGCTTCATTTCGCTTGGCTAATTTATGCAACGCTATTGTATTAGTAGGTTGTATATAGCTTTGGTCTGTAGGTTACAATCACATAATTACCTATACCATATACGCTTCGTGCATTTTGCACACAGAGATTTTTTATACTTGAGTTTTTTCCGCAATAGTATTGGATGCGGATTACCTAAATAAAGGCAAATGGCGTCTCCCATGGATGCTTTTAACGCTAGACGAGCTACAAGTGATGAAGGCCTTTTGGCGATTGGTAAGTTGGGGATTGAGGGATTGGGGAAGATTTGGCTTTCGATCGATTTTAATAAATCGATAATGATGAAATATTGGATAATTCGGAATAAAAACACGTATAGACAATTTAGAAAGGATGCTTTAATGTTGGAAATTGCAACTAGTGCTAATAACAACAAGTCAAAATGTCTCTGAACTAAAAATTTTGTAAGCATAAAGAATTTAAACGCAAATCGACTGTTCGGATCCAGATCGTGCAATTATCACTACGTTGATATTATTTTGAGTTGAATTCTTAAGATAACAAATGACTACTATCTAAAGCATTCCTTAATACGCTACGGCGTATAATAATTTAACCATGAGCTACATCCATCTTCCCCAATTTACACTGATTATTAAAAACAAATGAATCACAGTGACGTCACATCGAGTTTTTATCAGAACTATCGAAAGGTCTTTGTGATCTTCGACATGTAACGAATAACAATACCCGAACGTGACGTAGGTACTTGTCAAACGTTGCCAAAGAAACAATATCAATGGAATAACAAATAGGATTCCCACAATTTGTGACGTCACAACTTAAACAAAGAAATGTAGAATATGTGAGCAATTTTAACTCGGATATCCCTGACTTGTAATTTTTTGTGGTTCTACTTAGGCCTTTATTTGTTTTGGCCTTCTTCTTCTACAGAGGAACGATTTATGTAGGTAATATCCATACTATATTTGTATAGGATTATGTATTACATTATAATTTACATAAGTGTCGTATTAGGGCCATAAATATTATCATAACTAGTTGTGATTAGTGACCTCTGACTAATTTATCGTCTGTCGGTAATTGATAATTACACGATAAAAGTAAAATATTCTATTTTTCTATCTGCAGATGTAATTGTGCAACTATACCTAAAAATGCTTCTTCCCAATCCTTCCCCTCCCAATCCCTAAATCTCCAAATCCCTAATCCCTAAAAGGTCGGCAACGCACTTGTAACTCCTCAGTTGCAGGTGTCCATGGGCGGCGCTGATTGCTTACCATCAGGTAATCAGGCTGCTAGTTTGCCGACCTATTAAATTAAAAAAAGTGAAATCCGTATTACCAATATCCATATACAACAACAAACGAAAAAGGTTGTACATATATGACTAGTGCACAATTCATAAATGATATTTCACACATAACATGTCAGCCGCACTTGAGCTACACGCCTAGAAACAAAAAAAAACATAAAAATAAAATTCAAAATTCACAATCCGTCTAACGGTAGGTGGGAACCATTTTGTCGCCGAACTATTGTTGCCAGATCTAAATAACTGATATCCATGTTCGATTTGCAAATTCATAATCAGTATTGCCAGCGCGTGCCAAGGTTAATATGGCGTGACGTAGGGTTGACTAAAGCGAGTTCAAAGCTCTTCATAACAATTTTGTCTGATTTTTAAATCAGGCCAAGGACTGGCTTCTGACCAAATGTTTTCTTTCTCAATTCAAAATAACTAAATGGACGACAAAAAGTAATAATCTCATACATTAAAAAGTTATCGTTGAAACTTGATGCATGTGGTGGTGTCCAATTTCGATCAACGCAATATATGTAGTTAGTTTGTACAAACCCGTAAAAATACTATTTTCTAAATAATTAAACTGTTGTAGAATACATTTATGGTTTTTCTAAACTAAATTGCTGCATGTAGGTACTCATGCTAAATCAACCACAAAATGCACCTGGCCTCTCCCTATTTCGGCATTCGAATAAAAAGGCTGGTGCCATTTTGGGACATTTTTGTGCAGTTTTAAGCAATAACTCTTACAATTTTTATTGATATAATGGCATAACAGGCGAAAAATTTCGTAAACCAAACGTTAATAAATATTTATATGTTAAATTTTGTGCACTGCTACATGAACTTGACATTTAACAATTAGATTTTTACACCGAATATTCCGAGGCATATCGGAAGTGACACGTCCGTCAGATAATGGAACAATGCCGGCTTAGGGTGACCATCAGCTATGATACATGAATATATCCTATTCAATGTTAGAAAATATAATAAACTAGAGACTTTATAAGAAGAAAATATTTTAGAGTCACGCAAAGACGGACTTGATAAATCCAGCGTAAAGAAAGCGAACACGTGTCATATGTAGTCCAAAAAATTTCTGGCATTATGCAGAAATTAATAATAAAAATAGGCTGTTATTTAATATTTTAATAGTACAAATTATTCTCTTAAAAGTCACTACACCGTGCAAAAGGTAGTATACAAAAATGTTTTAATACTATACAAATAGATAAAGATACTATATAAATAAAAATAGATCACGAAAATGGAAGCCCCTAACTGTGAAATGACCGCACCCAAAATTTTTTTTTTGTTTTTTTTTTTGTTCAGTAGGCTATGATTTTCAGGTGGTCCCATATTCACCAGGTCAGGATCTAATGATGGAAACCCAGGTAAATCGAGGGGAACTTTCAAATTTTATAGGGTCAATCGGCATGATTTAAAGTG